TGCGCACTAGCTCCCCTAAATTCCCCTGTATATAAGCCGGCCTCTGCTGCCCTAGGGACCTCAGTTTCGACCTCTTGTCCCTAGGTCAGTAAGCCTTCAGTTGTATTCCTTTTTCCTTACCTAACTAATATACTATCTTGTCCCTAGCCTTAGGTTTGAGCATCGCTCACCATCGCTTCGGTGAGAATCAGTCGGACGCCCCCAGCTTTTAGGTTTTCCCCTGTCGCTTGACCTCAAGTCGCGACATTAGGTCGAAACTCCCCATAGCTGCCGGCGTTCCATCGGGACTCCCACAACTCACATTCCCTTCCTATAGGTTGGGTGGTGCGCACCCTTACTGTACCCTACGATACCTAGATAGCGTACTATACATCGCCACCGCTCAGGGAACGAACCTTTCAACACCTGCACTTCAGTGGGCGGTGTTTGTCCTAACGGACGCGTGGACTAGGTTCCTGCTGCATAATAATCAAAAGCAGTACTGGGCCCCACGTGAATCGTGAACCCTAGCGTTACCTCGGGCGCCGTAGGTGTAAGCTAGCTTAGCACGGCCTTTTGTAGCATGCGCACCTTCCCTTCCTTCCCCCATCGTGGCTGCGTGTCAAGGCCTTGTTCACACCTTCGACTCCAAGGACCTCATCGACGTCTACATCACTGACGGTCCCACCACTCTCATCTTCGCCTGCGAGACACAACCGTGCCCTAATCGCACACCTCGATCGATCGAGCAGGATTATGAGCGCTATAAGGCCATCAGAAGGGCCCAACACCCGCTCGGTCCCCGCAGTACCCACGCCTCTCGATCTGCGTCCCGGCACTCCCGCGCTGTTTCCCCCAGCTCTCGCCTTCCCCAAACTGTCGCCAGTACAAGTCAAAGAGGAGGAGATCCCGATCTCCCTGCAGACCCTGCGTCAGAGCCAGAGTCTGAGGAGAGTGCGAGTGAAGAAGGAGTCCCGGAGCCCGAGCCCACGGATCCTGCTCGGCCCACCTCGCCGACGGCGCTCGCCTCCACGTCAGCAGTCCCTGACGTACGTAACCCCACCACCGAACTTCCTCCGGCGCCTTCACCGCCGTCTCCGCCGAGAGGCCGCTCGCGCACTTGCTCCCCACGAAGTCCGACCGGCGGACAACCACAACCACCGCCTCCGCCCCCGGGCCGTCCTCCGTCCCCCCCGCCGCCGATAATGTCCTCGCCCGCGTCTCCTCCTGACAAGGACACCTTAAAACTCCTCCTCCCCCTCCGATATGATGGCAAAACCGTTGATAGGCGCCGAGCCCCGCTGGGCCCCGATACACCTCTTTTGGCACTCGCATTCCGCCCGGCACTTCGACTCAGTCTCCCAACAGTTCGATTTCGCCTTCGACGCTCTTCGACATCTTCGACGGTGCGCGACGCTTACTCGAAGCTCGGCACGGTCGTCCCGATGCCTCGCGCGTAGATCCCGAGACATCTTCCGCATTCGGCGAACAATAGGGCCACTTGACGCCGCTCGGCCAAGCGCGCGCTTCGCTCCAAGCCACACCGAAGTAGCCGGTCTTTCCCGATTAGGTATCGAACCTCGCGGCATGCCTTCACGACGGCTACCGGTCCGAAGTGGCCATATGTTGCTCTTCATCTCCGCGTTCGGCATGACGTCACTCTACCGATGGACTTAGTATGTGCCCCTCGGTGAGGCAGCTTCTTGAGGAACAATGCAAAGCCCCTTGTACCAGTGTGCCACTCTCGAATAGTCGTAGCGTCCTGTGTAGTATAAAACCTGTCGTACTTCTCTCTAAAAATACAAGATCCGGTTCCCCCCTCGAGTTCAGAGCTCATAAGTCGAGTTCGCCCTGCGTCTAAGCCTCTAACTGCGTCACTTCGTCCCTCGCTGCGTAACCTCGAAACCTCGTCCACTGCGTTTACTCGTCGATACCGTCTCGACGAACCCTTCGACTTCGACTATTGTCGAAGAAACTGCGAACCGCGTCCTAGCTAAGTCCCCCCTATCGAATTGTCTCTTTCTTCTACGATTCTTCGAAGAGCTCTCCCGAGCTTCGATCGTCTCCACTAACCATCCACAGCCTCCGAGGAGCTTCGACGACGTGTCGAAGCCACCTCGTAGCTTCCCCATTGTTCGTAGCCTTTTCCGAAGGCGTTTCTCGTGTTCACTCGAACCGCGGGACACCTTGCTGCTAACTC